CCAGGCTCCTTAGATAGGAATCTGGGCAAGAGAAGAAAACGGTCAGAGTTTAGTCCTCAGGTAGGTGAGGGTGTTTAGTGTGTTAGTGTGAGGCTGAGTGTGTGTTTATCCAATTGTGTGAGAAGGTGCGTGTGTGTGTGCATGATTGTGTAAAAGTATGTGAATGTGAGTGTGCCTGAGTGAGTCTGAGGGTGCTGAGCGTGTGTTCTGGTGAGAGTGTGTGTATGGAAGTGTGCATGAGTGTGTTTGTGTGAGTGTGCAAGCACGAGTGTGTGTGTGAGTGTGAGAGAGCAAATGAGAGTGTGAATGTGTGAGCGTGTGTGTATGTGTTAGTTTGTGAGAGCTTGCAAGTGAGTTTGTGCAAGCGTGTGAAGGTGTGAGAGTGTGTGAGTGCACGTGCGTGCTCACGTGGGTGTGTATGTGAATGTGTGTGTGCATGTATATGAGTGTGTGTGTATTGTGAAAATAGTGCATTTGTCCTCTTCAGAGTCAGGCTCATCATCCCATCCAGAGTCACTTGTTGTAAGGAGGGGTGACCTTGGCATTACTGCTCTGCCAGCCCTTTCCAACTCCCCATCCTGCACTGGGTTGCCCAGTTGCTCCCAAAGGCTGGGGATTTTGCTCTCCAGCTCACAGCTGTGGGCACCTCTCCCGGCCATCTCCTACCTCCTTACTACAGACTTCCTACCCCAGCTGCACACAACTACGCCACCCCCCCGATCTCCAGAGGGAAACTGGTTTGCTGGAATGTTTATGAAACACGAGTGTAGGTTTTTGCTTTAAAAAAAAAAGAAATGAGCATAACAGGATTTTTCAGATTCAGAGCCATACTTCTGAAATCCAATTCTCCACTCATGTGTTTTCCTGTCAACAGTGCGTCTCCAAACGTCACACCTGCTGCTACCAATTAAATCATGATTGTTTCATTCACCGATGAAGTTGCTCCATGTCAGCACATTTAAATTTTGTGAAGTTATGTAGTTTTGTCTTCAGGAGGACATTGTGCAAACTTGATTAAGCAGCAGTTATGATAATGCACGTAAAGTGAATAATAAAACCTGAATGTGTCTCCCTTATGAAATTTGGTCATGCATTTTATATTCACGATTCTTGGAGTGTGACAAAAAAGCATCCAACTTATGTGTAAGAAAAATTTCAGAACTGTGGGAGCGTGAAATTTTACCACGGGATTCACAGCATTTTGCAAGAATTTTTTTTTTTTTTAATTCCTGCAAGAGTCCCCCTACTGTATTGCAAGTTTTTTCTTTTTCTTTTCTTTCTTTCTTTCTTTCTTTTTTTTTTTTTTTAGAGACAGGGTCTTGCTCTGTTGCCCAGGCTAAGTGCAGTGGTTCGATCATGGCTCACTGTAGCCTCAAAACTCCTGGGCTCCAGTGACCCTCCCACCTCAGCCTCCCAAGTAGCTGGAACTACAGGTGTGCACCACTATGCTGGGTTAAATTTTTATTTTTATTTTTTGTAGAGACAGCATCTTGGTATATTGCCCAGGCTGGTCTTGAACTTCTGACTTCAAGCAATCCTCCTGCCTCGGCCTCCCAAAGTGCTAGGACTACAGGTGTAACCCCCGCTCCTGGCCTTGTATGCCAAGTTTTCTTCATTGATGTGTCTTGCTTTTCTCAGGATGAGGACACAGTTTTATAAATTTATGACCACAATATAGCACAAAGTGGGTGGTCAGTAAACCCACTTTGGGTTCATTGTTGGTGAATCAACCACAAGAAATAATAATTGGGAAAAAGGTCAGAGTAGATGATAGTTGAAAATTTTGCAGGTCCTGCTAATTCTTTTTTCTTTCTTTCTTTCTTTCTTTCTTTCTTTCTTTCTTTCTTTCTTTCTTTCTTTCTTTCTTTCTTTCTTTCTTTCTTTTCTTTCTCTTTCTTTCTTTCTTTCCTTCCTTCCTTCCTTCCTTCCTTCCTTCCTTCCTTCCTTCCTCCTTCCTTCCTTTCTTCCTCTCCTTCCTTCCTTCCTGCCTGCCTCTCTCCCCTCCCGCCTCTCTCCCCTCCCTCCCTCCTTCCTTCCTTCCTTCCTTCCTTCCTTCCTTCCTTCCTTCCTTCCTTCCTTCCTTCCTTCCTTCTTTCCTGCCTGCCTGCCTGCAAAGGTATGATCTCTGCTCACTGCAACCTCTGCCTCCTGGGTTCAAGTGATTCTCCTGCCTCAGCCTCCCGAGTAGCTGGGATTACAGGCATGTGCCACCATACCCGACTAATTTTTGTATTTTTAGTAGAGATGAGGTTTCTCCATGTTGGGCAGGCTGGTCTTGAACTCCCGACGTCAGGTAATCTGCCCACCTTGGCCTTCCAAAGTGCTAGGATTACATGTGTGAGCCACTGTGCCTGGCCCCTTTTCTTTCTTTATCATCTTGGTCAGTGTTCAGTGTTTAGGACACTTTCCCATCACAGGTAGCCACACTTGGAGAATTGTAGAATGGCAGAGCTAGAGGGGACTTTATTTTTAATTTAATTTAATTTGTTTATTTTTTTTTGAGATGGAGTCTCACTCTGTTGCCCAGGCTAGAGTGCAGTGGCATGATCTCGGCTCACTGCAACCTCCGCCTCCCAGGTTCAAGCTGTTCTCCTGCTTCAGCCTCTCAAGTAGCTGGGACTACAGGCACCTGCCACCATGCCTGGCTAATTTTTGTATTTTTAGTAGAGACAGGGTTTCACCATCTTGGCCAGGCTGGTCTAGAACTCCTGACCTCAGTTGATTCACCTACCTCGGCCTCCCAAAGTTCTGGGATTACAGGCGTGAGCCACCATGTCTGGCCAGGGACTTTATGTTTATTATTATTTTTCATTTGTAGAAATTTATGGGTTACAAGTGCAACTGATATATTGCACAGTGGTGAAGTCAGGGCTCTCAGGAAATCCATCACCCAAATAATGTACTGTATTAGGCTGTTCTTGCATTGCTATAAAGAAATAACTGAGACTGGGTAATTTATAAAGACAAGTTTAATGTGGCTCACAATTCTGCAGGTTTACAAGCATGGTGCCGGCATCTCCTTGGCCTCTGGGGAGGTGTCTGGGAGCTTTCATTCATGGCGGAAGGCGAATTGGGTGAAAGAGAGTAAGGGGGCACCAGGCATGATGGCTCATGCCTGTAATCCCAGCACTTGGGAGGCCGAGGTGGGCGGATCACGAGGTCGGGAGATCGAGACCATCCTGGTCAACAAGGTGAAACCCCGTCTCTACTAAAAATACAAAAATTAGCTGGGCGTGGTGGCGCATGCCTGTAATCCCTGCTACTCGAGAGGCTGAGGAAGGAGAATCACTTGAACCAGGGAGGCGGAGGTTGCAGTGAGCCGAGATTGTGCCGCTGAATTCCAGCCCAACAACAGAGCAAGATTCCGTCTCAAAAAAAAAAAAAAAGAAGACAGTGATGGGGGAGGCACCACACAATTTTAAACAACCAGATGTCACGTGAACTGAAAGCCAGAACCCACTTATCACCAAGGGGATAGTGCTAGACCATTCATGAGAGGTCTGTCCCCCCATCTAATCACCTCCCACCAGGCTTCACCTAATGCTGGGAATTACATTTCAACCTGAGATTTGGAGTTTGGACAAATATCCAAACTATATCACGTACATTGCATTCATTACCTACCCACTCCCCTTCCGTGTCTCCATTGTGTATACGTTGTTTACCTCCCTCTTAGAGAACATATGGTATTTGTCTTTCTGTGCCTGGGTGGTTCATGTAACATAACAGCTTCCAGTTCCGTCCATGTTTAGATCACAGCTGACACAGAGAGGGATGGTGACTTGTCCAGGGTCACATAGCTGTCACTGCCCAAGGGGTTCACCTTGCCTGCTGCTTAGACAGAGCTGATTTATCAAGACAGGGGAATTGAAATAGAGAAAGATGGTCGGGCACAGTTGCTCACACCTATAATCACAGCACTTTGGGAGGCTGAGGTGGGTGGATCACTTGAGGCCAGCCTCACCAATATGGTGAAACCCTGTCTCTACCAAAAATACAAAAATTAGCTGGGCATGGTGGCACACACCTGTAATCCCAGTTACTCGGGAGGCTGAGGCAGGAGAGTCGCTTGAACCCAGGAGGCAGAGGTTGCAGTGAGCCGAGATTGCACCACTGCACTCCAGCCTGGGCAACAGAGTGAGACTCTGTCTCAACTAAAAAAAAAAAAAAAAAAGAGAGAGAGAGAGATAGAGAAAGAGTAATTTACACAGAGCCTGCTGTGCGGGGAACTGGAGGTTTTAATCACCTAAATCAGTCTCCTGGGCATTCGGGACGGAATTTTTAAAGACAATTTGGTGGGTAGAGGCTCGGGAGGTGGGGAGTGGTGACTGGTCAGGTTGGAGATGGAATCATAGTGGGCTGAAGTGAGATTTTCTTGCCGTCTTCTGTTCCTGGATGGGGTCGTAGCACTGCTCAAGCCAGATTACAGGTCTGGGTGGTATCAGCTGATCCATCGAGGATAGGATCTGCAAAATATCTCAAGCACTGACCTTAGGTTTCATAATAGCGATGTTATCCCCAGGAGCAATTTGGGGAGGTTCAGACTCTCGCAGCCATAGGCTGCATGGCCCCCTAAACCATAATTTCTAACCCTGTAGCTAATTTGTTAGTCCTACAAAGGCAGACTTGTCCCCAGGCAAGAAGGGGGTCTTTTTGGGAAAGAGATACTATCAATTTTGTTTCAGAGTCAAACCATAAACTACATTTCTTCCCAAGATTAGTTCAGCCTACTCCCAGGAATGAACGAGGACAGTCTGAAGGTTAGAAGCAAGATGGAGTTGGTTAAGTCTGATCTCTTTCACTGTCATAACTTCCTCCGTTATGATTTTTGCAAAGGCATTTGCACAGCCAGTGAACACGGACCTCCGCAGTGGTTTCCACGCCATGGGGGCCTCCCGGAGCCCTGGCTGGGCAAAATAGCCTGACCCATCTTTGCAGGAGTGGGGTCTGGAGGTGGGTGGGCCGGAGTTTGTGCCCCGCTGACGCTGTCTGTGTGTTAGTTACAGGACTCTGATCAGACCCACCTACAGAGTGTCCTACCGCACGGTGACGGCGCTGGAGTGGAGGTGCTGCCCTGGCTTCACCGGGAGCAACTGTGATGAGGGTAAGTCTGCAGTCACTTGGGGTGCAGGGGGCCAGGCGCGGGTCAGGCTGGCGTTTCTCCCTCCTCTGGCCTCCTCCTGCAAGCAGCTCTCCTTTCCTCCGTAACTTGAAATCCTTTCCTTTTCCCAATCACCTCTGAAACAAATGTTCTGGATCGGCCTGGCCAAACCAGGGTGAAGCTGCCCGCCCTGCCCGTGGGCACTGAGGCAGGTGCCAGTTTGCATTGGTTAGGTAGTGGAGTACACAAGCCAAAAACAGCACTGGTGCCAGGGAAAGGGATTTGATTTCTAGCCGGTTTCTTCCACTTCTGGCTCCGATGCACCCAGAACCCTTGGGGCGGGCAGAGTTGGATATCTGGGCTCTGAGCAAATGCGGATGAGGTCCCACCAGCCTTGAGGACAAGGACTTTGTAGACTGAGACGGAGAGGCTGACCGGTAGCCGCAGATAGACGTTCACCCAGCTGCTTTCTGCCTTTCTGCCCTGCTGGTGTTTAGCCCGGGGGCCTGGGCTCAGCCCGACTATGGAGCATGAGAGGGTCACACAACAGCACTTAGGTGGGCCAACGGTGGCGGACAGAGCAAATGCCCCTTCACTGCTGGCTAGGGAAATCGAGTCCCGCCTAATGAACAAGTGTGCAGCCCACCTTGTTCCCCAGCATGGCTGGATGGGTCTGGAGGCTGAGGCTCAGGGGTCAGATTTTTTTTTTTCTTTTTCTTTTTTTTTTTTTTGAGACAAGATCTCACTCTGTTGCCCAGGCTGGAGTGCAGTGATATGACCATGGCTCACTGCAGCCTCGAACTCCTGGGCTCAATCCATCCTCCCACTTCAGCCTCTCGTGCAGCTGGGAGTGTAGGTGTGCACCACCACACCTAGCTATTTTTTTGTATGATTTTTAGAGACGGGTCTTGCAATGTTGCTCAGGCTGGTCTCGAACTCCTTGGCTCAAGTGATCCTCCCGCCTCGGCCTCCCAAAGTGCTGGGATTACTGGCGTGAACCACCCCTGAACCACCCCACCTGGCCAGAGGGGTCAGTTTTGTATTTGGAAACAGTAGCTGTCTCCCACCTTCGCTTTCTCACAAAATTCTTCTCTTCTCTGTCATCTTGTTACTTATTGATTTGACTGTAGTATTTATATGCTTTGAGTGGAAACTGCCTAAAGAGCTCTTTGGGTTACAAAGAATAACGCAATTGACAGAAATAGCAAGATTCCGACAATTGCTTCAGGGGGCCTCTGGCCCAGAGCAGAGCTGAAGGAAAAAGGCCAGGACGCCACAGAGTCCGACAGGTGCCTCTTGTTGTGGTTGATGAGGTGCCTGATGCTGGCAGGGGAGGCTGGACTATCCTTGTTGGAGGTTCCGGGGCTGACTTGGACCCTTCTTCAGAGAGAAGCAGGAAGGACCTCCAAGGTGAGGGGATGCCAGGTTTCCAGGCAGTGGGCCGGCCCTGGTATAATGCTATGGTGTCGAACGACCACAGCTCACAGGTCCCTCATGGTGGCCTGAGCCCTTCAATGCCAGGACTTGGATCTGCCATTTTGGTCAGCGCCGTGGCTGTGGACGCAGCCATCAGGTCCCCCCAAGAGGGCGGAGCAGGCCTGCCATCTGGATCCTGCCAGGGGCCAAGATGCGAGTGTTGCTAGGGAAGTGATTGGTTTACTCTTATGTAAGTACCTGAGCCTGTTTCAGTGATCAATAAAATCAGCAATGTTAGCCAGGAATGGTGGCTCATGACTGTAATCCCAGTGCTTCAGGAGGCTGAAGCCAGAGGATCGATTGAGCCCAGGAGTTTGAGACCAGTCTGGGAAACATGCTGAAACCCTGTCTCTACTAAAATATACAAAAATTAGCCAGGTGGGGTGACATGTGCCTATAGTCCCAGGTACTCAGAAGGCTGAGGTAAGAGGATCACTTGAGCCCAGGAGGGTGAGGATGCAGTGAGCCGAGATCAAGCCACTGCACTTCAACCTGGGCAACAGAGCAAGACCCTGTCTCAAAAAAAAAAAAAAAAAAAAAAATTCAGCTATGTTGGGAAGCTCATCTGAGCCAGAGATTTTACTGTGGCTTGGTCGCATAGACCATGGCAGCTTGCAGTGAGGTACTGGATGTGCTTCTCTCTAGGCTGACCATCCAAGTCTTGCTTCCAGAAGCCCTCTCAGCATTAGGAAGGCTTTAGCGGCTGGGCTCAGTGGCTCATGCCTGTAATCCCAACACTTTGGGAGGCCAAGGTGGGCGGATCACTTGAGGTCAGGAGTTCGACACAAGCCTGGCCAACATGGTGAAACCCTGTCTTTACCAAAAATACAAAAATTAGCCGGGCGTGGTGACGTGTGCCTATAATCCCAGCTACTTGGGAGGCTGAGGCATGAGAATTGCTTGAACCTGGGAGGCAGAGGTTGCAATGAACCAAGATCATGCTGCTGCACTCCAGCCTGAGTGACAGAGTGACACTCCGTCTCAAAAAAAAAAAAAAAAAAAAGACTTCAGGGCCCTTCTCTCAGCTCTCAGCTCCCAGAGGCCCTAAACTTTCCTGTCACTGCCCTAGCAATCCCTGGAGACCACTGTAGAGCTTGAACATATACATTTTTCAGCTCTCGTAGTCTCTTTATTGAAAAATGAATGCTATTGGCCAGGCGCGGTGGCTCAAGCCTGTAATCCCAGCACTTTGGGAGGCCGACACGGGCGGATCACGAGGTCAGGAGATCGAGACCATCCTAGCTAACCTGGTGAAACCCCATCTCTACTAAAAAAATACGAAAAACTGCCGCACGAGGTGGCGGGCGCCTGTAGTCCCAGCTACTCGGGAGGCTGAGGCAGGAGAATGGTGTAAACCGGGAGGCGGAGCTTGCAGTGAGCTGAGATCCGGCCGCTGCACTCCAGCCTGGGCGACAGAACAAGACTCCGTCTCAAAAAAAAAAGAAAGAAAGAAAGAAAGAAAAATGAATGCTATTAAATGAAGTGTAAGTCTCAAAATGCTTAAGTGCTTTGGGAGGCCAAGGCAGGCAGATCACCTGAGGTCAGGAGTTCAAGACCAGCCTGGCCAACACAGTGAAACTCCATCTTTATTAAAAATAGAAAAATTAGCCGGGCGTGGTGGCAGGTGCCTGTAATCCCAGCTGCTCGGGAGGCTAAGGCAGGAGGATCGCTTGAACCCGGGAGGCAGAAGTTGCAGTGAGCCGAGATCGTGCCACTTCTTTCCAGCCTGGACAATAGAGTGAGAGTCTGTCTCAAAAGGAAAAAAAATATGCTTAAGTGGTCATTCTCATGCAAGTACATAGTGAGCACTGTTTGATTTACGGGTTTTATCGAACTCATTTAATGAGGGAACTGGCAGAATAACAAAGCTGGTTTAAAAGAGGATGAGAGCTGGGACACAGTATAATTCCAGTGCTATGGGAGGCTGAGGCCAGAGGATCACTTGAGGCTAGGAGTTTGAGACCTGCTTGAGAAACATAGCGAGACCCTGTCTCTACATAAAAAGAGAAATTAGCCAGGTGTGATGTCACATGCCTGTAGTCTCAGCTACTCAGGAGGCTGAGGGGGAAGGATCCCCTGAGCCTAGGAGGTCAAGGCTATAGTGAGCTATGATTTTGCTGCTGCACTCTAGCCTAGGTGATAGAGTGAGACCCTGTGTCTAAACAAATGAGCAAAAAGAGGATTAGAGAAACTGATATATGTGTGTATACACACATGCGTGTATTTGTACACTGGGGGTCTCCAAGACGACCCTTAGGTTTGGCACCTTGCTAGAAGAACTCAGAGAATGTATTAAAAACTCTTATGCTCATGGTCATGGTTTATTACAGCAAAAAGATACAGATTAGGCCCAGCACGGTGACTCATGCCTGTAATCCCAGCACTTTGGGAGGCCGAGGTGGGAGGATCACTTGAGGGCAGGAGTTCGAGACCAGCCTGGCCAACGTGATCAAACCCTGACTCTACCAAAAACATGACAATTAGCTGGGCATGGTGGTGGGCGCCTGTAATCCCAGCTACTTGGGAGGCTGAGGCAGGAGAATCGCTTGAACCCAGGAGGCAGAGGTTGCAGTGAACTGAGATTGTGCCATTGTACTCTAGCCTGGGCGACAGAGTGAAACTCGGTCTCAAAAAAAAGATAGAGATTAAAATGAGCCAGGGAAGAGACACGTGGGGCAGGCAGGGCCCAGGAGAGTTTCATGTATGGAACCTCTAGTTGTCCCCTCCCAATGGAGTTGTGGACAGTGGTACTTCCCCAGCAATGACATGTGTCAATATATACAAAGTATTGCCACCCAGGGAACCTCATCTGAACCAGAGATTTTACTGTCTTGGTCATATGGACTATGGCCAGCCTGTATGGCTGACTCAGATTCTAGCCCCTCTGGAAGTTGAGCTGGTACCAGGTGGTGCAAGGATGTCCTCATCAATGACATTGTTAGCACAAACCATCCAATGTGGCCTGAGTTAGCATAGACCATGTGGCATGGTCGAAGGTCCCCAAGTAGATGGACACTGTGACCAAGCTAGACATTCTGAGGGCTTCCAAATACCTCCCACGAGCCAAGTGCAAAGGCCAGACCTCCTTTAGGGTAAGATTAATTCTTTGTGTGTGTATATATAATATGTATATTACATATTATTATTGAAATATATAATATATAGTCATTGTGATATATAATATGTAAATAATATATATCCTATATTCAATAATATAGAATTATTGAATTATTTATATTACATATTCTATATGAATATATTCAATATAAATATTCATTCATTATGAATTCCATATTCTATGTGAATATGGAATATAGAATAATATACAATGATATATGAATATTTAATGTGTTATTAATAATGTATATATTCCAGTAATATATTATATATTATCAAATAATTATTGATATTAATTATTGATAATAAATATTGAATAATTATTGATCTATTGAATAATGTATAATACTGAATAATGTCATTGAATAATTGTTTATATATAACTGAATAATTATGGATAATAATTAATA